TCCTTTCTAGCCAACAGTTCCTCCTTCCCTCCCTCCCTTCCTTCATTTCCTTCCTCCCTCTCTTTCTCCCTCCCTCCATTCCTTCCTTCCTTCCTTTCTTCCTTTCTTCCTTCCTTCCTTCCTTTCTTCCTTCCTTCCCTCCCTCCCTTCTTCCTTCCTTCCTTCCTTTGGAAGTACTTGGAATTTAACTCAAGGTTTCACTTTTGCCTGATAAGCAGTCTACCCCCTTAATTATACCCTCAGTCTTTTGTTATTACTTTGCTTTTTAGATAGGGTGTCATGCATTTGCCTGGGCTAGATTCAAACTATGAATGATCTTCCTCTCTACTTCCCATGTAGCTGAGATTACAGGCATGATCCAGCACTCCTGGCTTTAGGGTTCTACCAACTTCAGAGGGTATCACCCCCTTGCTTGCTAAGTATCTAAGATTACAGGCAGGTACCACTATATCTGGCCTCATCTATCCTCCTTAAGGTGAAGTAGCTGGTATTGGAGAAACATAGACCTGGGCTACAATATAAACCCTACCATTCCTATAGTAGCCTTTGACTAGTTCTTTAAACTTTGAGGCTCAGTTTCCTCCTCTGAAAAATGTAAATATTGTTAACACTTACCTCGTTGGGCTTACACAACCATAATCACACACAGGTGAGCTAGGTGTACCAGTTCCTGGTGTGAATTTCTTTACCCTCTCCTCCTCCCACTTGCCTCCATGCCTCTCTCTGTTTTCTTTATTTTTGGAAGATTTAGAAAGTCTTGAAAAAATTACTGTCATTTTTATCCATACATTTTTTTTCTTGACTGGACAGTCAAGATATTTAAATAGCGACAATTCACACACACACACACACACACACACACACACACACACACACACACACACACACACACACACACACACACACACAAAACCAGGACCACAAATACAACCTGTGTGTCTAACCCAGGGTGTCTGAGATCCAGGAAGAGGCCAGGAAGCAGAGTCTAGTTTTCTCACACAGACAGAGAGAAGCCGCACTGAAGTAAAGGGCCCAAGATACCTTTTAACTGTGCAGGATGGCGGCACTGGAAGGAGCATCTGCTGCCGAAAGTGGTACCCTCCAGGCAGGAGAAAGTGGCGGCGTAGACATGATGGTGGTCCGGCATGCCACAGTCCACAGGCTCACATGCCACCTGCTTGTTCCACTTTCCCTCTGTGCAGGTCACCGTGACGCTGGGTCCCGTCTGAAAGGCAGAGGCAGGCACAGTGAGAGATGGCAGAATGGTCCACCAGTGTGAGACACATCCTTCTCCTCTGGGAAGAATCTCAGTCTCATGCAGACACCAGGAGACCAAAATTTACAGTGTTCAGTGTTAGCTCATGTCTAATAATCTCAACAACAGCAAGAATTAGATATTTCAGTTTCCACTAAGTTTAAGAGACATTGTAATCAACCTCTGGATTACTCGTCTGAAAAAAGGATAAGGGGATTTAAGCCCAAAGACAGTGCTCCTAACGTAATCTACAAAACCTTCCAGATCAGTATTTCTACTTTACTGATGACCATCTTGAGATTCAGAAACCTCACAGGGCATGTTTGACTTCTTTTGCAAAACAGAGTCTGAAACATGGCTACACAGTAGGACTCCAGAGGTCTAGGCCTTCCTTCCTTCCTTCCTTCCTTCCTTCCTTCCTTCCTTCCTTCCTTCCTTCCTTCCTTCCTTCTTTCCTTCCCTCCCTCCCTCCCTCCTTCCTTCCCTCCTTTTCTCTTTCTTCTTCATTCACTCCTTTCCCCTCTCCCTCTCCCTCTCTTCCTACTTTTCTTCCTTTTGGCAGTACTGGCATTTGAACTCAGGGCCTCATATTGCTAGACAAGATCCCTGTCATGTGAGCCACACCCCCAGTCTACCTGTTGGAATGTTTGGGAGACAGCAGGGCATTGCCTGGGATATAGGAGACCTGGATGTTTGCCTCTTATGTTATAAGACCTTGGGTAGTCTATTCTCTTGAATTCTCCCATTGGCAAAATGAATAGATTGAACCCAAGTCTTGTTCTATAAAGAATTCCATATTCTGAGATCCAATGGCTCAGTAGCCAAGAAAGACATGATGAAAAATATTTTTTAAAAAAACTATCTATGAAAACTAAAAAGTTCAACAAAGATCTGAACTGAAGATATTAGGGTGGTGTAGATGGAAGGGTGGGGCTATCCTTGGGTGAGCCAAGTGAACAACTGTCATTGGCAGCCTAGAGGCTTCCATTCAAGGAAGAAGCTGCCAAATCCCACAGGACTGAAGGATGCCAAATGTTGATCTGGTATTTTAAGAGCAAAAGACATTTTCCTTTCCTAAGCACACATCAAAGGGTGTATAGAGGCCTCTCCCTGCCAAAACGACCTAATTGTTCCCATAGAAGTTCAGACCTGCCGTGGCTGACACACAGAAGTAGATTTCTAAGACAAGGAAGTGCAGAAGCTCTGTACACATAGGTGTTCCCAGAAATACATAATGTTTCCTGTGTGATTGCATCAGAGTCTGCCGGGGAGGCCCTGGAAAGTGCTACATCTATCGACAGCTCTGTAATCTTCAAATGCCAGAGCTGGAAGGAGCCTTGCCTGTCTCCTTATCCCCCTCTCCTCGCCCTACCTGAGATTCCCAAAGCAACACACCTGGCTGCAGCAACTTCCTGCCACATCACTCAAAACCCAACCCACTACCACTCATTTCATGCAGGAAATACCCTATCTTCCATGAGCTCTGTCAGTGACCTCTGATGGCTTTCTCTGATGCCTGACTTACAGGTAGACTCAAATCCACACCATGTGGAGAGAAGAAGGGCCTCTGCAGAGCATGGCCTGATCATGGCAAATCCTTCAGCCATCCTCTGCTACCCTAACAGTAATTCCCAGACTTCCTGACTAAGCTGGCCCAGCACCAGCAGACAAAGAATTGACTCTCTGGACTCATAACTCGGGTGACTTGAGAAAGAAAGAAAAATCTCTGTCTGGGGAACTCTCACCAATAGCTTTCCACTTATTATTCCCACATGTGCCAGAGCAGATCTCTCTCCCTGTCCCCAGCACACACTACTCTCTGCCTATCTACCTGCTGGGCAATTTTTATACCACTTCTTCCAGAGCATTTTCCTTAAGTCCTCCTGTGTTTCTACATCCCAATACAGGTCTCTTTATAGTATTTGTCATTATTTGTGAGTCCCCTCTCCCCACCGGCCACACAACAGACTGAGAAGAGTGACTCAAGTTGTTTTGTTCCCCAGTCTAGGGCTTGAATTCAGGGCCTCACACTCAGTCTGCTTTCTTGCTCATGGCAGGCACCCAGCCTCGCCTTTCAGTTGTTAATTGGAGATCTGAGATGATGGCTGACATCTCTTCTGCTTAGGTTGGATTTGTATTACAATTGTCTGGATCTCAGCCCCTTGAATATGAGCCACCAGCATCCCCACTTCAGTCTGTTTTAATGACTTCTGTATCTCTAGGACCAAGTACAACTTCTGATTTATGGTGAATAGATGCAATGAATGAATGAACAAATCAATCAACATCTCATTCACTCGTTCCTAAAGCAGGCTGTTTCATTACAGCAATGATCTGAGTGCAACAGCTTCATTCTGACATGTTCGGCCCGTAGCCTTGTAGACTTGCAAGCTACACAAACATAATGATGTGTGCTATGGAATGCTTTTCTGCACAGGAAGGTTGGTTTGTTGGTTCCTTGATTCGTTAATTCATTGGTATAAATAGGCAATAGATAATAGGCAATAATCTAGCTAGCTAGATTAGATATAGATAGATAGAAGAATGCATGTTATACACAGATAGAAGAGAGGAAAAATATGTAACTCATCTACTCTGTGTGTCCTGCACTATTTTCAGGGCCAGGACTTCAGCAGAGTACCTGTTGCACAACTTTCCCTGGCTGGAAATGCTCTGCTCAGCACTCACACACACCTGGCTCTTGATCAGCTCATCATCCCGCTGTATCTGCAGCACATAGCCCGTCTGGCAGCTCACAGTGCATTGGGCACCATGATAGCGATCGCTGCTGGAGCAATTGAGAGAAGAGTTCTTCACAACCAGCTCCGGACAATCTATGGTCTCACAAGCAAAGTGTACACAGCTGGGGAAGAAGAAATGAGAAGGTAAGAAGGGGATTGCTCACAGAACAGCTTCACACGACCTGGAAGATAAAAGCTGAGCCTCTTCCCAAAATTTCAGGAGGTTAAGGCTGAAGGAGAGAAAGGGGTATGGGTTGAGGTAAAGAAATAGGATTGTGAAAACTGGGAGAGAGTGACGGAATGATCAAGATACATGGTACTCATAAACTGACACGCTGAATCGCAAACCTTTTATACAACAACGTTAAGATAATAGCAAACAAATATATGAGAAATGAATAGGAAAACTCTGGAGAATGTGACTAAGGGCTGTCTTGAAGAGCACAAGTTACAGAGACTGATTTCACATGCTCCCACTTGAAAACTTTGTTTGTTATCAAGTTTCCAACCTTGCAGAGCCTCAGTGTTTCCATTTGTGAAACAGGGATCATTATAATTACAGAAAGCATTTATTGAGTTTCCTAGTAGTAAGACACTAGATCGACTGACAACCTCTTTGTATTTGGTTGGAATACCTATTTTTGTTTTGTTTTTTGTTTTTTTTTTTGGTCCGGTCGTGGGGCCTGAACTCTGGGCCTGGGCACTGTCCCTGAGCTCTTCAGCTCAAGGCTAGCACTCTACCACTTGAGCCACAGCGCCATTTCCGGCTTTTTTCTTTTTGCTTATGTGGTGCTGTGGAATCGAACCCAGGGCCTTGAGCATGCAAGGCAAGCGCTCTAGCACTGAGCCACCTTCCCAGCCCGGAATACCTATTTTTGGAGGGTCATGGACAGAATTAAATAAGTTAATTCAAGAAGTGAACATAGCAGAATTCCCAACACATACTGAGCACTCATTGGTTAGTAGCAATTTGCATGTGTGTACCAGTTCTGGCGCTTGAACTCAGTGGCTGGGCATTATCCTGAACATTTTTGCGCAAGGCTAGCACTTCACCATTTGAGCCACAGCTCCACTTCCGGCATTGTTGGTGGTTAGTTGGAAGTAAGAGTCTCATGGACTTTCCTGTCTGGGCTGGCTTCAAACCACAATTATCATATTTCAGCATCTTGAGTAGCTAGGATTACAGACATGAGCCACCAACACCCAGCTGGTAGCTAGTATTATAAATATATCAACACTCTATTAACTACCAGCTGTGTGACTTTCAGTTAGCATATTACCTCTGTATGCAGCATGGTACCTTTACATTTATCTTACTTTACAGAGGCATAGGATTCAACAGAAGTAAAGATAGAAGTCTTTCATTTCTGTAGAGTCTCTTGTGTATCATGCCGATCTGGATTCAGTATGTTCTTTAAGTTGGGGCCAAATGTACATTTCTCCAGAAAACTTTCCCGTATGTCCCCAGGTAAGATTCTTTACAAGCATCCTCCCCTCCTTCTTCTAACACTGCTGCCTCATCCACATCATTGAAAGCCCAGGGTATGGGTGTCTCTAGCAGGTACTGAAATGCATGGTAATCTTTGCAGATGCATGTAGAAATGAGAGAACACCCCTGTGCAGGGATGATCTATTCTCCTTGTAGTTATGCAAACACTCAGTGGTGTTCCCAACTACTGAATGCTTACATCCATGAGCTCACTCCATTCTCACAATAAACCTATGAGCTAAGTGTTACTCATTTTACAGTAGGAAAAATTGAGAACTGGCAAGATTAAGTTACCTGTTTAAGTTCCCACCCAGATGTGTGACCCTAAAAACTCTGCCCTATAGCCCTCACTAAAACATTATGGAGGGCAGAGATGCCTGATTCATCCTGATGTGCTTCCCTAGGTAATTAGAAATACCTTGCATACAGAAATAAATGCTGGTTGTACCTGACTCTGACTCCTAAGCATGTCACACAAGTAGGGCAGGGGAATCTTACTTTGACTTTTGCCCACTGACCTTGTCCATCTCCCCTTTGCCCCCTCCCCCACCCTCATCCCTAATTCCTGGCCTATCAGATGCACAAATGGCTGGATTTGCATCCAGTTCTTCAAGATTTCTAACAGGATACAGGGAGAAAATTTTGAGCAAATTCGCTTGAGAAGATATCACTATTTTTTTTTTTTTTTTTGCTCCTGTTTCATGATGTAACACTAAGGGCTTTTGGGGGTGGCAATTGCTACTTATCCCCAACATGCTACCTACTGGTCCAAAATACAGTGAGCAGTAAAGCGGGGAGGTTGACAAACTAGGAGCCTCCAGAACATATCACTAACTAAATGCAATTTCTAACTACTTCTAGAGGGCAAGCATTTAATGCAAGCTTTAGAGCTTTCCTGATGTAGCTTTATATATGCACTCTTCCAAAATGCAGGGCAGTTGGCCTTCAGTCACATCTGCTGAGCTCTTATCTGCCATTCCTTTACCTCTAGAAACTGCAGAACTATGCCATGTGGAGACCTCGAAGCAGATATGAACGTAGAGTCAACCCACGAGCTACACCAAACAATGCACCACTCACGTGGTGCGAGGGCTGGTTCCAATTTAAATAGATTTACTCTGTAAGTGACCACCTTCCGAGCTCAGTTCCCTCTGACTTGTGCCTTATAGATTGGGCATTATAACTCTGCCCTCTCCAAAGGGGCAGAGCTCTTATCCCAGGAGGACCCATGAGGGATGGGGGGATAAAGACTTTCTTTGCTTGCCTCAGAGACCATTGAGGTAAAAAAAAAATGGCATCTTCCTCTCTGTTCTGTGCACACTGAAACTGTTTTTTCATAGGAAAATTAGAAAAATAGAGACACCTTGCTTCTCAGAAATGGAACTAGAGCTTATCATTTTGGAGAAATCTGGGATTCAGCTACAGCTCTGCCACTGATTAGTTGTTGAACCTTGAAATTTTTGTAACACCTCGTTGTCCTAGCTTTCTCATCAGCAAGGTAGAAGAAATAAAATAATACTCTCTGAATTGTAACAGGTTGAAATGCCATCCATCCATTCATTTACCTACTGGACACATCTTAACTGGGAGCTCACTGTTGTGTGGAGGGGTGGTGAGGAACAAGTAAGATGCTCTCTACTTATGGAGGAACATGTTCTAAGGGAAACGAATCAACAAGAGCATTTCAGATGGTGATGGACCCATTGCAACAATGAGATGTACAATACGTTATGTCAAAAAACGAACTTTACAACTTTGGTGCGGGGGGGGGGGGGGGGGGGGCGGGGCACGGGATGGGAAGGGCTGGAAGGGGAAACAAAGGAGGAGGCAACAATGCTTGATAAGAAATGTACTCATTACTTTGCTCATGTAATTGTAACCTCTCTGTATGGTATTTTCACAATAAAAAAAGATAAAACATGGTTATGGAATCAAGGGGAAATTATAAAAGGAAATTGCTTGGGAAAGGCAGGAGAATTTTTATTTGAAAAGATCCATCAGGAAGGGATCACTCACTGACCTAAGACTTAAAGGGATCAAACTTCCAAAGGATTGAGGAAGAATGGTTCCCTGGCAGATGGAGGAGCGAGGACAAGGTGGTGCACGGTGTGTTTGTAGCACAGAAAGGTCCGTGCGTGAGAAAGAATGATCTGCGAAAAAGTAGTCTGCCCCTCACTCTCTCTCTGGTACAGAGGAAAATATTTCCTCATCACAGGAAGTACCTGACCAAATGATTCTATAATCACACCAGGATTTGATCCATTTTCTTTATTGCAGACATTCCACAGTGATTTGAATATTTGAATGCACGCTGAAAATGATCTGAAGGAGCTGAGGGGAAATTCGTTTTCTGAACTCTGCCAGCCTTTTTCCCCCCTTAGAACTAGTGTTTTCTACGACGTGCTTTGGGGAGTGAGGCATCCCTGGTTATTTGGCATCTCTGCCTGCACCTGTTTGTTTTTTTTTTTTTTTTTGTTTTTGGCTTATTGATAGGAAGAAAAGGAAAAAAAGGAGCTAATATGTCTCAGGCATGAGCCACCCTGTTTCACCTATACCACCCTATTTGCAACCATGAAATAACTTCTTGATGTAGTAATATTATCAGTGTTTGGGTGTTTCAGACTAAGAGTTCTAGACTGTTTGCCCAAGGGCACTCAGCTTGAATAGAATGCTGATAGAGATTAGTCTGTACGCTCCCGAAGTCCTTGTTCTTCCCTTTGCTATCTTGCTGGTTGGAAACCTTTGTATGAATACACTGTCTGAAAATGATGAAGACAGCCCGAACTGACCCTCTGACCTAAATCCTGATACACTCCTGTCATTCATATCTGAAATACAAAACAGAAGTAAGGAAAACAAAACAAAAGACAAGGCTCTAGTTCACTATTTTTTTTTAACTAGGGGAAGGATTTCATATCAGCGATGGACTGTTCATAAAAATTACAAAAGAAGGGAACAATTAAGGCAAGTCTTTGAAGGTAGAAGGGTGATTTGTTGGGTGGATTTGGGCAAGAGACACAAGTAACTGCATCTATCAAATTCTCACACCTAGGCAGAGATGGAAATCCTCACAGAAGCAGAGTTAGATGCTTTAGTATTTTAATTTTCTTCTTTGTAAATATATGTGTGTGTGTGTGTGTGTGTGTGTGTGTGTGTGTGTGTGTGTGTGTGGTGTAATGTGTGTGTATGTTCATGTATGTATATACATATATATGTATATATAATTATCTTTAGTTGTACAAACAGATTTCAATGTATGAGTACAAAGCACCTTGATCAAGGTCACCCTGCTTCTTCATTCTACCTCATCTATCTCAACATCCTTCATAACTTCAAGTGATCTGGCTCCAGTTTCACATATGTGCATTGAATATTATGGTTATAGGTACCCACCATTCCTCTCTCACACCCCAGTAATCAGTGAGGAGGAAGAGGAGGTAGAAGGATCAAAGTTCAAGACCAGCCTCTCCTACTTCTTTCCTTTGGATATGTATTTCTGTTTAAAAATAAAACCCGTATGCTTATTTACTTATAGATTCCACTTTCTACAGGAAAGTATTATGTGATCCCATCACCAATCTCCCAAACACTGAAATGGAGACTAACCACGTGTACAGAGGACATCTGGACCCTACTGGGATCAGGGCAAAGCAGAGGTTGAAGGGCTAGTGGGGACTTCCATTTGACCCACAACTTAACTTTTGTGGCATGCTGCTTTAGCTGCAATTATGCCATGGAGAAGTAGAGATAATAACAGGCAGGCTGTTTATAAGTCTTTCTGGGATATTCAGATGGAGACAACAAAGAAAAAGCTACAAAAAAGAGGTTTTTGTTCAACATTGGAAAAGGAAAGGAAAACTGTCCTGGTCATCAGCTCTATAGAACCACTCAGGAAGTGAGAATGAAAAAGAGGTAGCATGATAGGACCTCAGTTTTCTGCCCAGAAAGTTACTAAGTAAAATCTGATCCTCTCCTGGACTTTCACGAGCCAACATCAGAGATGTGCTGCAGAGGCAAGGCTTTGAAGAGTGTGAGGTGCAAATTCAGCAAATCCTGCAGAGTCCAGGCAGTTATGTTGAATGACAATGTGAGTTGGGTAGCTTCTGACCGTGGCAACAACAATACTCTGCTCTAGTTCCAGGTTGTCCTACTGCTTTCAAATCTTCTGATTTCTTCGAAGAGTTCCAGGAAGAGTTCTGGTGCTTACTAGGAAATCTTCTGATATTTAAATGCTACCAACTAATTAAAGGCCTAAATCAGGCCTAATCTGCTCTATGAGATATCAGACCCGTAAAGAAATGGAGTCCTAAGAACCACATTCAAAAGCTGGTTTGGCCTCTAACTTGATGGATGATTGCAGGAAATCCATTTCCTTTACTTTGTCATTGAGTTTCCCAATGACTAAGGATGCAGAATTAGGGAATCTGGAAGTCTCAACTCCCAGGTTTGTTATGTTTTATGAAAACAAACAGCAGAGAGACATGATTTCAGAAATCTATGGAATGGGAAAAATCAGATTTGATAAAGATACAGAGTCACAAGAACTTTGGCGGATGGCTGAGTGGGAGATAAACTGATCAACTTGTTATCAAAGAACCAGGCAGTATCCAGTACAGGCAAAACTACACAGGCATCATGCCCAACTGTTCACCTGCCAGCATATCCATCAGGACATCCAACCTACATTCTAGAGCTGCAGATTCCTTTGTGAATTAGGGAAACTAGACAAGGTTATGTAGGCGTCAATATCAATATGGTCTCTGGCCGTCGGTAGCTTCATTTTGGTTTCTGTGTTCCTATAATATGAATCCCTATACGATTACCTAATGGAGTATTCCACACCTGGGGTCCTAGCAGTGCAGACTTAGGAAAGTGTGGATTTAGCCTGTGGGGCCCTTGTAAATCACTTGTAAGTCTACCTTGGCTGGAGAGAGCTCATTTCAGCCACACAAAGAACTTGTTTCCTGCCAAAATGACCTTTTAGAAGTTACTTCTCTATTAGCACTGCTTCTCTAGATATACCAGTATGTAGAAAAACATAGAAACAGTTTGAGTAACAGGAAGGAAGAGAATATGAAAGATAAAAAGAGAAGGAGGAAGGGAGGAAATAAGAAAGAGGGAGGAGGGAAAGGGAGACGAGAGTGAGGGAAAGTGGAATGAAGTAAGATAATCCTCTTAATACATGGCCCGTCGAATTTTCTTTTCTGTTCAGAACCACAAGTTGAGTGGGGGTGGGGTGGGCCTCAATGGCAGGACTGCAGTTTTTCTTCTTGGAGCTCCTTACTTTTTTTTTTTACCCCCCACCCTTTCCCCTCCATTTCCTCTTTCCCCAACTAGGTGTGGAGTTGTGTTTTGGCTAGAATTCCACAACTGGACTGCCTGTTTGAAATCTGATCCTGTTTTCTTGAACCTCTGAATTTATACCAAGCACTGCATAGGGGTGGTGACCCTTGAATCTAGGTCAGAATACACAGCCTGCATTGATTTTGCTATAGCAAGCTTCTGCCCTAGCAGCCTACTGGATATCACTCTGCTTTCCTCCGAAGAAGAGGAAGGGATGAGGGGGTGGGGAAGGAAGATAGGGAGGGAGGAGGGGAAGAACAAGCGACAAAAAGCCAGAAAGAATAGACAGGTGGAAAGACAGAGATGGCAGGAAGAGAAGGAAGGGTACAGGGAGAAAGGGAGGAGGGAAGGGAAAAACTGGTTGGGAAACAGCTAAGTGTGCAGTGCGAGGTTCAAACTACAAGAGACTGAGATTTGTGCTGTAAAAGGTGATGTTATTTACCTTGGTGATTTTGAGAATGAATAACATCTCAGGGCTGGGTACAGTTTTTGCTGATTCCCCCCCCCCCCCCCTTGGTTGTTTGTTGGAATGCATTTGCACATTGGCCTGCTTGGGTCATTTCCTGGGCAGCTTTCTGAACACAGCTGCTGTACTTGCCTCTCTGGGGCATCCAGAAGGAAATTCTGCAGCCCAGCATCCTCAGGCCTTCAGACAGCCTGTTCCAAGCTCAGAAGCAATCTAACCAAAGCTCTTGGGACTGCGTCTTTCTCTGCTGTTCAAAACCAGGATGAGTCAATGCTCACCTAGGACCGTGACAGGTCCTGAAAGCGTTTGTCTCCTTCAAGTGCTTTCAAAAGCAGACAAAACAGGGTTTTCCTCTTACTGCCTGTTTCTCTGAGTCATAACCCTTCCAGAACAGGTGTGAGAGTGAAATAAGATAATGTACTTATCAGGGGCTCAACAAATGTTTGCTCCTTTCTCTCTCCCCTCACCCCTCCAAGCACTGAGAAATCAAAGTCAGCTCGAACTGGAAAGCAACCACAGAGAATGTGCAATCCATCTTCATCATTTAACAGAGAAACCAAGAGAGAAGAATGACTTGTCTACAGTCATACAATAAGACAGACAGGACCAAGGCTCTGCCCCAATTCTGTGTTCTTTCACAACCAAAGAGCTACACAAACGAGCCGACTGATCTTTTTCAGATCTTAAAACAGTTCTTACTGTTTTCGTAGAGCACAGAAACTGTTCTTTAAGGACTCAGAAAAGTCAGGTCTGGCTTTGGTCAATTTGTTGGAAGGTCTGGAGATCTGGGAAAGGATGAGAACACATTATGGAAATGGTCTAATGGGTCTGCATTTTCCATGGACATTGTTTCTCTGGGTTTTGAGAATTAGCTTATTTTTTTAACAGAGTATAAAAAGCTAGGATAATAATAATCATACTTTTTTTTGAAGCCTGGTAAGATGAACTATGACAATGACAGATATGTCAGGAGCTCCTGTCTTGCAGCAATTGCAACAGACTTTGCACAACAGAAGCTGGAGACTGTGGGTGCAAAACAATGTGGATTTTGCAACCACATTTTGTGTCCTCTGTGGGAGGAGGAGCGTGGGAAAGTCTGATGTCCCCCAGCCCTCCTCCCTCTCCCTGCCCCCACCCCCCGACCACCATGTGCAGTGGGCTTTACTCCATGGGGGCTATCAACGAGTCAACTCTTTCTCCTTCTGGATCTCATTAACTGAGTGTGAAATACTGAACCACCTTGAACCTGTCCTTCCCTTTCCAGGGCTCTGAGCAATCTGGATGGTAACACCAAAGTTTGGATGCCCTAGATCAGCTCGGTGGCTGGTTCTGCTCAGACTCTCAGAACTCCACATAGAATTGTGCTCCAAAAACCACCAACCACCCTGAAAAGAAGCTCTCAATGATTTTTACTTATTCGACAGGTTGTTTGGCACTGATAGGTTATTTACTCATCGATACGTATTCATCAGTCGTTTTCACGAGTGTCCCATAATTTGAAAGAGGTTTTTTTGTTGTTTTTTTTAATTTCCAGGGCAACAACGAATCCTTGCAACCACAGTAAGGGGCGGGCTATTACAATCTATTTGTTCCAAAATAGAAATCGGAAACTCGGAAAAGGGTGACTCATGTAAGGACACACTACGGGAGGAACAGTAATGTGGAGATTGAAACCTAAATTAAGAGTGCTCCCCAACCTCATATTCTTTCTAGGAAACATCATCCCCTCACATCTCTGTATGAGGTGTCTTAACAGATACCAGATCAAGTGCACTGGTGGAGCAATGCTCTCTACACTCCATCGACACACGCTGGGACCACTCTAGGGCTCAGTTTGTGAAAGAGAAGTTATACCCATCACTGCATCACACAGTGAACAGAAAGGAAGCAAATACCCCTTCCACCCCATCCATCCTCCTCAGTTAAGGACTTGTGCCTATGCCACTTATGAAGAGGAATCTTCTAGCATTTCAGCCCTGTAAAGTCTAATTCCCCTACCCTGTCTGTTATGTGGGGAGGTTGAGTCCAGAGAAGTAAGCTGCTGTTTCCATCTTTCTGAAAACTCAGCATCTGCACACCAGGTGAGACAGAGTCTCTTTCCAGGGCAAATCCCTGCTTCCTCTGCTAGCCCCAGCAATTCAGGGATTCATATGATCCTCAAGTCCCAAGGCTGATCCAGCCAGAGATCAGAAGATGGAGAAAGGAGAAATGCATAGATTTATCCACTCATCTACACATGGCCCATGGCAATGAGGTGCAGGATGCCTTACCTCTGCTCCGCAGGGCTGTAGGTCTCTCCTCTCTGGCAGCTGCTCAGGGTGACAGGGTCAAAGTTGTCGAAGGAGCGGAGGGCCACCCCCGAGATGGCGACCAGGGGCGAACTGAAGCTCACACGTACCGCCTGGCTGTGGTAGAAGGGCTGGCTGAGGTCATGGACCACAGGGATAATCAGGGGATTGTTCCTGCAGCTCAGGACATGGAGGCCTGTCAGGGGAGACAGGCTCATTACTCAAGGCCAGTCACGCCCTCCCCAACGGGCCCTTCCTGAAGCCCCCAGACCCTTTCATGTCACTGCACAAAAGCACCATTGGGCGGCCAACGAGGATTTTGAGTTTGATTGAAAGTTTCTTTGTCTGCCTTTTTTTTTTTCTTGGTTCCAAATCTTTCCAATCCCCTCCCTCCCCACCTCCCTGCCCCTTAAAGCTTTCTCTTCACCTAGCATCTAACGTCCTTCTCCCTCCCCCAAATGGCCACCTTTGTCCAAGCATCTCAGGCTCTCACTCCCTCCTACATTGCCTCAGAGATTCACAGTTCAGGATAACTGCCTGGCTGGTCATAAAAGTGATGGGAATAATTCATAACCACAGGCCCCTCTCAGGGTGAAAAAGCCCACTGACATGGGTAATCTTCAAGCCCCAGGATGAGTCTTCTGAGGCATGGATCGCTATGCCCAATCTGCAGAGAAGAAAAACTGAGGTACTCAGGCTACACTACGTGTGACCTTTCAGATAGATGGACCACCACTGCAGTGCAGGTCAAGGACAATCCAAGACTGCCTCACACAAGAAGCACTCCGTAGTCATGCGCATGCCTCCCTTGGGCTGGCAGCAGGTACCCAGATTTAAAGAGGAAAATGCGGACAGGGACTGAAAGTAAAATACATAAGAGTAGGATAGAAGAAAAGGGGATGGGGCCGGATGGAATTTGCAAAAAAAAAGAGAGCTAGCTAGATAATCCTGAGTTTCAAGGTTGGTTTAGCCACGTTCTGATGAGGAGACTCTAGTAAACTCCTAAAACTCCATTTCTATGTCTGGGAAACCCGGTGATCCTATCTGTTCTGGCAGCTTTGCTCGGATGGAAGGGTTTCTCCATTGTGGATGCATAAAGCTGCTGGCTTACTCGCTGCCTTTTCTCTGTTCGTCTCTCAGGTCTCTGCAACCTGTGCTGGGGATGTGAGGATGCGGAGGACAGGAACATACAGTAGGGAGGGACTGGTAGCAAGAGCCAAGAGGTTTCTGGGGAGCCAGACTTCTCCCCCTCTCCGCTGCGAAGCCTTTCCTCAGAGCCCTTTGCTGAGCCAAAATGACTATCAAAATATTTGCTTCTCACTTTGGGAAATTTCCCAGGAATCCAGATAAATCCAGAGGGGTTTTCTTTCTCTTCCTTATTTATATGTCTGCACCCTCCCCCTACCTTTAAAATGACTGAATAAATAAACATGAAAACAAAACATCTTCCCTTCTCCCTTGGCTTCTACCTGACCCTGAAGTGACCCCTTGTCTGCTTGCTTCTTAAGGGGTTTTGAAATGAGCTCTCTGTGGAATGGTGTGGGCACAGCTTTGAAGTCCAAGCTCCAGTGCTGGCCCGGAATTCCAAACACTTGGATGGGTTACCCAGATCTCTCTAGGGTAGGCTGGAAAAGAGAGGGTGTAAAAGGAATTTCTTAGTGAGACTAGGAAGTCATGATTGCTAGGCTTCTTTCAAAGGGTGTTATGGTGACACAATAGTGTCAGTATCTCCTTCTGACCTTAACACGGGCATCATTGCATTGTGCCTATGAAGACAGAGATGCTGAGAGGTTAAAAAACTCTGCTCACACTCTCTAAGAGAGGGAGGGAGGAATAGGTATGGGATTCAAATTCTGGTCCCTTTCCTCAATACTGTGGAGCATATAGGCATTGTGGGGAGAGGGAGGGGGTGGACAAGGGACAGTTATTATCCCTGCTCTCCCACCTGACTCAGGGTTCAGGGTAGATTCCTGAGAGGTAAGACCTGATTCTGATTCCTCACCCACTTGCCCATTTCTGAACTCAACAGAATTTTTACTTTCCATGATCCCACAGGGAGCTTCTGGGGGGGAGGGTAGTGAGAGTGAGAGAGAGAGAGTGAGCGAGTGAGTGAGTGAGAAAGAGAGAAAGACAGAAAGAGAGAGAGGAGAGAGAGGGGTGTGTGTGTGTGTGTGTGTGTGTGCTGGTGATATGATCACCATGGGGGGGGGAGTTCTCACAGAAACCTCTGGTTATGTTTTTGAACCCTGAGTACTTATTCAAAACTTGTGTGACCTGAGATCACTCCCACCTCTCCATGAGTTGTAGAGCTAAAATGGCTGATAGCAGGGGGAAACAAATGGCTCTTTCTTAGTCTCCTTCCCAATAGTGTCTTTGGAGGATCCCGGGGGATGCACAAGGTTAAAGCTATCTGACAAAAAGGCTTTGCCATTGACTCCTTGTCTGTATACCTACCAAATCCATGTTTCTCTGCATCAGCTACATTTTTGATTGAGGCAAACAGAATGTCCAAGAGTAAAGAAGCAAAAAGACAAAAAGGTAAGGAAGAGATCATGTCTAGCTCATCCTCACATCCACCCATGGCACATGAGTGGAAGCAGGTAAAGAGAGAGAGGTAAGCTCAGGAAAAGATGCTTGCCTAGATCGTGGCTCTGGTCTTTGGTATCAAGTAACTGCACGCTGATGGTCTCTTGCTTTTGGTCTCCATAGTATGTCCCATCAGTCACCAAGTGGACAATGACAGCTGTAGCAACCATTGGCTGAGAGAAATATGTCTGAAATAGAGAGACATGAGAAAGTCACTTAGGAGCTTAGCCACATGGAAAGGAAGCAAGCATTCTGGGGTGGATCTGGGGGCAATCTTCCTCCAATTCAGGAATTAGACCCAGACAGGAAGGAGAAAGCATGACACACAGACTCTGAGATTAGAAACCCTGCTTCAGTCCTGGGTTTGCTTCCACCTAGCTGTTGATGTTGAGTGGAGAGCTGGGCTTAAGTTTCCTCCAGCATTAGCCTGTAACTAGGTAACAAAGCAATGGAGCAAAAAAAGAATATATAAGGCCCTTATATGTCTGTGAAAGTTTAAAGTAAATCAATGATACATAGATTAAATAAATAAAATTTATAAATCTTTTTTTTGTCAGTCTTGGGGCTTGAACTCTGGGTTTGGGCGCTGTCCATGCACTCTTCAGCTCAAGGCGAGTGCTCTACCACTTGAGCCACAGCACCACTTCTGGTTTTCTAGTGGTTTATTGGAGATAAGAGTCTCACAGAGTTTCCTGCCCGGGCTGGCTTTGAACTGTGATCCTCAGATCTCAGCCTCCTGCATAGCTGGGATTATAGGCATGAGCTACCGGTGCCCAGCTAAAACTTATAATCTTTAATCAGGACTACATAAGCTAACATGTGACAAGTGCTATGTAACAGGAGGTGAAACAGGTGTAGAGCTAGAAGCAAAAAAAAAAAGTCATTTTCCCCCTTTGGAGATCAGTGGAGTCTTCATGGAAGAAATTCTGAAGGCCTGGAGTACAAATGAAGGCTTAGGAGGCAGTGAGTGAAAATAATCATCTCCAAAGTTACCACTGAGTTTGGTGGTTAGCTTGAGATGCCATGGCTCTTAAAACTTAAGTTTACCTATTTCATGTACATGTTCAAAAATAGAGCGATGAAGCCTGTTGAAATTTTAAGAAGGAGGGGAATCTAACGTACACTGTAAGATTCTAAGTATATATTGCAATGTCACAACATCCCTGCTGTGCAACTAATATGTGATAATAAAAACATTTTAAAAAATCATGAGCTTACCTGGAGCCAGAAAGAGGTCTGAGAGACCTGGGAATATGGGTAACTGATGGTGCAAGGGTACCAGGCATGCTGGGAAATGCCTTCACTGAGGTCGATCACCTTGGTTCGACAGATCTAGAAGAAAGACATAACATCAACAACAAAAATCGATGAAATCTCAACGTGTCAATCTACCTTAATACAAGAGTAAGTAGAGATGAAAAGACAAAAAAAAATCTGTTCCAGGATCCCAGGTCCTAAAGTAGGTAGTCCCTGATGCTGTAAAGAAAGGAAGAGATGATCAATTTGGGGGTCAGAGGTGACGGGGACAAATTCTGCAGGAGCTGACATTGAAGATAGGTCTGGAAGACATTATGGAGCGAACAACAGAAGTGCAGGCCCGGAGGAAAGCAGAAATTCAGAATGATTAGGTGGTGATAAATTGCCTGATCACACCAAAGCTCTGAAAAAGTGGCAAAAAAAGAAAGTGGAGGGATTTGAACTCACAGAGGCTTGAGTCTCAAGCAAATGGTTTTAGAACAAGTGTGCAAATTGTGCTGTGGCCTATAGTAGTGATAAGGAGAAGGCCATGAGTGCAAGAGCCAGTGGCCTTTATATCACTAAAGAAAATCAGTTCCATTACTTTACATACACATTCACATGTACAAGCATACATATATACACCTACACACACACACACACACACACACACACACACACACACTCCTTCAGTGGCAGTCAAGGCCGAAGACCACTGAGAGAAACAGGAACTTTTCAAACTTAAGAGTTTATGCATCAAGTGTCATTTGTTGATTGACTCATTCATTCAAAATGGTATTTATTAATTGATGGCTATTTATCAAACCTCTGGGATATAAAAGTGGGCAAGACAGATGTTAAGGGCAGAGAGCTAGCTTAGTACACATATACTAAGTAATTACATACATACAGAGAACAATTGAGCTCTTGAGATTGGCTGAAGGTTGTCCCAAACTGTTCTCTAACACATGATGTGGCTCTTCCCTCAAAACCTCTCTGTGAAGCTGGGTGCCAGTGGCTGCCATCTGCAATCCTAGTTACTCAGGAGGCTGAGAGCTGAGGATCACAATTCAATGTCAGCTCTGGCAGAAAATAATCTGTGAAACACTTAATTAATCAATTAACCAGCAAAAAGCCAGAAGTGAGGTGTGGCTCAAGTGGTAGAGTGGTAAAATGTCAGACTTGAGCAAAAGCCAAGCAAGAGTGCAAGGTCTCAAGTTCAAGCTCCAGTACTGGAACATTTTCCCTGTAAACCCTGGGTCTGTCATTTCACATCTGCATTTCATAGGTCAATCATCTGAGAAGTAAGGCTGATCCAAAGAGTGTTAAGGAACTGAAAATCTATGAAAAAGAGTAGCAAGACAATCTATTCTCAACCAGAATAAGCAAACCGGAAAACATATAAAATAAATACATAAACAAAAAAGCAAATAGAAAAGTACATTTATTTACAAGAATCAAAGATGTCCATTCCTGAAGTACATATAAAAATATCCATACTATAACAAAGGATTAGGAAGTATCTAAATTTTCATCTTTTGGAAGTGGTTCTATGATATATGAAATGTTCATGTGTCCGAATTACATTGGGTGAAAGAATATTAGAAGGAATTAGCTAGATTCATACACAGATGATACTAAAATACACAGGATGATATTAAAATATTGAACACTTGGCCCAGGCTAATCACAACAAAAGGTCTAGTAATGCAGTCAAAGACATCAACACAGAGAGATGGTAAAAACAACACTGAGTGACAAAAATAAAGTATCAAGAGCTACGTAATTATAATGCCATCAATATAAAAGAGATCACACAGGGGCTGGGAAGATGGCTCAGTGGTAGAACTCTTGCTTTGCATGCATGAGGCCCTGGGTTCGATTCCTCAGCACCACATAAGCAAAAAGAAAAAAAGCCAGAAGTGGCGCTGTGGCTCAAGTGGTAGAGCGCTAGCCTTGAGCTGAAGAGCTGAGGGACAGCGCCCAGGCCTAGAGTTCAGGCCCCACGACCGCCCCCCCCCCCAAAAAAAATAAAAAAGATCACACAAAACAAAACTCTATGTTGCCCAGGGATTCATAAGAATTAAAAATTTCAGAGGAATAGTAAACATCTAATTCAGGGTGGCCATTGCTTCTGTGTCTCAAGGAAGGGAACTGTTAGTAGAAGCTGGGGATAAATGGGGTGTAACTTTATCTGTAGTTGTGTAATTCTCTTACAGAAAGAGACTGGAAGCAAGTAGAACAAAATTTGCATAGCTGTCAACTCTAGGTAGTGTACACACCTGCTGTATAGTGTGAACATCTGTAAGCACAGGTGTTTGGGGTTTACCTTATTCCATGTAATTTTATGATTTATAAAATAAAGTAACGAAACTCCTCCAGGCAGGAATGGAGGTGCATATCTGCTGTTGTAGCTACTCAGGAGGCTGAAGCAAGACCACCTGAATCAAGGAATTTCAAGGCAGCCTGGACAGCATAGCAAAACTTAGTCTCTTAAAACCAAAGAAAATCACTGTAAACTCTTGACTTATACAACCATGAAAAGTAAATGTAAAATGACTTGCATAAACTCCCTTAACAATGTGTTCCTGTGTAACAGGCTCCATCGAACTAAACATGGTCTATAGCCAACCCCTCTTGGCATCATCAATGAACATCTCATCTGCACAGGTTCATGAATCCAAATGCCCCTCTTTCTATCATCATCTAGGGATAATTATATCTTTTAGGCAGTCTTAGAAAACACCAATTCTTTGTTCTGTTTGCAGAAGTGAAAAGTTACTTATCCATCAAAAAATATATGCTACATGGTCATCTAAAATGGCAAGCATCAAATGCTTCCTTTTTTAAAATGAACTACCTGGATAATCCTCTATAGTAAAGTTACAAAGAAAATACAGAGAGAGCTGGGTACCAGTGGCTCATACCCATAATCCTAGCTACTTAGGAGGCTATCTGAGAATCACTGTTTCAAAGCCAGTGTGGGTGGACAAGAAAGTCAGCAAGACTCTTATCTCCATTTAGTCAATAGAAAACTAGAAATGGAGCTGTGGCTCAAGGTGGTAGAACACTAGCTTTGTGCAAAGAAAGATCAAGGCCTGAGTTCAAGCCCTATGACCAACAAAAAGAAGGAAAATAGAGTTCCATACACCTGTCACCTAGATTCCCTCATATTTTCATCTTCATTGAGGCAATTTTTTTCAAACCTCAGAAGAAGATAAGTCATATAAAGAACAAGAATCACCATATGTCATATAAAGAGGTGAGCTGAAACATTGGTTTTGGATGAAGGAGACCTGGTTCTAGTTGGTGCTGGCTTTGAGATATCATTACAGACAGGTTATCCTGCATCTTTGGGATTCAGGTGGCTCTTGCACATTTGAATTTTGGATTAGCCATAGATTGCCAAAGTATCTTCCATAGGTTCTCATGGGTGCCTGGATATGTTGACCTCTGGCTCAGGATGTGGAAGGTCTACTTGGTTTCTGTTCTACTACCTTAGCCTCATCATCTTGATTCCTCTTTTGTGTACCAAAGCTGCCTTATAATATTTCATTTCAGAAAAGAGTTTCCCTGCTTTAAAAATAGAAAAACTTAGTAGCTGTCAAAGTTCCCCTCATCCTGGCTCTAGGAATCAGTCCATCTTAGGAATACAGTATTGGTTCCCTGAGTCTTAGTGGCAATATGCTAAGGAGCACGCAGGTGCCAAGTCTCACTCATCCTATTGTCTAAGAATTAGGCACAGATACATTGGATTTAGTCTGTAGAAGCCAATACCAAGGAGGCCAAGGATAGAACATAGCTTCTTTAATGGGCTGGAAGACATTTTTGTTTATTTTATTTTTTTCAAAAACAACTGGGACCAGGTTTAGGCAGAGGCTGCCAGAGGATTGTGTTTCACTTTACAACAGTGCGAGACTTTGCATAAACTATCTACGGCATTTGAAATCCAGGCCAGCAATTCGACATGTATCGTTTAGGAATGCTTTCCTCTGTGTTCTTAGCTGTCTGTCTCCCAGCCGATGGTGGCATAGCATATCTCTGAGTATGGGTCTTGGAAGTGGAGGGGGGGGGGTGTTCTTATCTCTGCATCTTAAGCATTCGTGGTCAGAGAATTTGCCAACATGAACAAAGCCTTCTTACTGCTTAAATACGATTTCCTCTTATCTCGTCAGTTCTATCAGCACTAGACAAGGCTTTTAGCGGAACATGCTGCTGTTATTTTATTCTCCTGTTTTCCTGGCTAGTTGTGTATTTGTTTCAGGCTGACTGCAATCTCACTAGGGACAGTCGAAGCAGATCAGAGAGGAAAGAACAAATCCAGCTGAACCTTGGCCCAAAGCCCTTGCTGATTTTCAAGTCATTTCTGTTCTTTGGGAGGTGGAGGAAAAGGGAGATGTGAATCTTCATAAGTCTCCTGCTTTTGTGAATAGGTCATGCACTTGCGCATTTAGCACCCCTTAATTGAAGAGGAATGGCGTGCTGGGGTCCGGAGTGCTGCGAGAGGGAAAAGGGCCTCACAGATACTGCAGGCTGGCTAACTGAATAAAGGCATGGTCTCAAGATGACTGATGCTGTGGCCATAATGTGTCCATCTCCCCACACTGAGGCAAATCCTGCTTCATAATGCCTTACTGGGCAATGGAGGTTTTACTGAACACTTTGTGGGGGACACACAGGACAGTCACAATGCACACCGTGGAAGACTCTCCCCACCATCCACCCTGACATCTCATTCTCTCCATTTGTCTGCACATTCTTCCAGCTGCTCGAGTGTCACAGGCTCCAGGGATCTTCCAACTACTCCCAGACTCCTCTCTGATCCCAGTCCGAACATCTCCCTCACACAAGTCATGCAAAGCCATTATGTTATCCCATCTATACTCCACCTTCCAACATACCCTTCTAATGATCTAGGATGGCATGGCACTGCACATAGTAACCTTTGTCCCCCTCTGTCATACTAGGGTAAACACAACTTGCTCCCTCCTTTCCCATTATTTGCTGTTTCGTAGAGCACATCAAGGATGCTCTAGAACAGTATTCAGGACTTGGGTTTCCTGAAAGAGGTCAGTTCTCTAGAGCTACATTGTTCC